TCCCTGGTATTTCTGGTGTTTAGTATCCCTGGTATTTTCGGTGTCTAGTATCCCTGGTATTTCTGATGACTAGTATCCCTGGTATTTCTGGTGTTTAGTATCATTGTTATTTGTGGTGTCTAGTATACCTGGTATTTCCGGTGTCTAGTATCCCTGGTATTTCTGATCTCTAGTATCCCTGGTATTTCTGATGTCTAGTATCCCTGGTATTTCCGGTGTCTAGTATCCCTGGAATTTCTTGTGTCTAGTATCCCTGGTATTTCCGGTGTCTAGTATCCCTGGTATTTCTGGGGTATAGTATCCCTGGTATTTCTGATGTCTAGTATCCCTGGTATTTCCGGTGTCTACTATCCCTGGTATTTCTTGTGTCTAGTATCCCTGGTATTTCTGATGTCTAGTATCCCTGGAATTTCTTGTGTCTAGTATCCCTGGTATTTCTGGTTTTTAGTATCATTAGTATTTCTGGTGTCTAGTATCGCTGGTATTTCTGGTGTCTAGTGCCCTGGTATTTCTGATGTCTAGTATCACTGGTATTTCTGGTGTCTAGTATCCCTGGTATTTCTAACGCCTGCTCTAATTGGATTCGCGGTATTTTTGCAAACTTTTTATCTGCAAAGATTTAGCGATCAGGGCTGCAGTGACCAGGCCTTAAGACTTCCTTTTAGAGGTCGGCTCTAAAAACAAGAAATATTTTCAGTTAGACACATATTTCGAGTTCCAGTTAAAATTATAAATATTATTAAATTTGTTTATGTTTTACAGGAAAAACAATAAATTCTAAGAAAAGCTAGCTCAAACTTCTTAAATGTTAATTTTTGTGAAGAAAAGGGCCAAAAACAAACAATTTTTTGCGCCGAAAGTTTTCCGTAAACTCTTTAGACCGTCGACATTTAGATGTAAATAATATTGTATTAAAATATGAGGAAATATACATGTTGTATGATAGTATACCTACATTTATCTGATGTGAATATATCCTACCTTCTACTGTCCAATGTACATACAGGGAGTATCAGCAAACATAAGTTTTTAAACATCCTGAAACATTAATGTATGTATGGTGGTAGAAAGAATGAATGAAATTACTAAGATAAAAATCATTCTTGTAATATATTCATGATACCCTGACAATTGCCATATTAGTGACGCGCGGAGGGGGAGTGGGTTATGTGTAGGTAAGGAGGGGGGGGGGATATAAAAAAAGGAGAATGAATGAAAGAAA